CTCTTATCAGTATCTCTTTCTTTCTCTTTCTCTCAATGTCTTGAAGAAGAAGAAGACGGAGCAAAACAAATTTAGAATAAAGTTCTAATCTAGCTCTCAGAAAAGGCCTTCACCCAGTTCCCACGCTCTTGACTTAACCCGCTCACTTTATCGCAATTCCGGCTCTCTCTATGTTTTCAATAAAAAATAAAGAAAGCCTCCTTATCACTCTCTCTCCCACACCCTCTTACTCTTTCTCCCTTTCATTTAAAGAATCGGAAATGCGATTATCACCTGATATTTTGTTAGTTTTCTTGTTAATCCATATAATAAATTCATGTATTTTATATATGCATACAAACATTTTTCCAATCCGCCCATTAAAAGCCCACAAGCGAATAAAAAAGTGTATTTTCCGGTATCTCAGAAGCCATGGAATCAGAATCAATATCGTTGCTTTGCGCCATAAATGAATATTCTACAGCCGATATCAACGTTTTTAATTTTCAAATCTATAAACCAATTCTCACATTTACTAGACTGATTGAAATGTCAAACATGGCTATATTATTGTGACCCACTGCTCGCCTACAATTATATGAACCGCTACTATCAAACAAAAAGCAGTTCGGCATGAGAACTGAAGCGAGCAGCGAATCCTTCAAGCCCTGAAAGAAAATTACTTTTTTATTATTTAAATAATAGAAAAGAAAATGTCAAATTTGCAGCTTTTTATTTAAATCCCCTTGCCCACTTTATTCATTCTTTCATATATCCTGTTTTGCTGTTGGCAGAGTCAGTGATGCTGTCAGCGACGCCAAGGAAATGTTGACATTGTCATCCAAAAATATGAATAGGAAAGCAGAGAAATTACAAAAAAATGCATAAAAAGCGTACAATTTATTATATTATTTATTTCGCAGAAGTGCGAAAGATATCTAAAAATAAAATATCCAAAGAATAAGAGATCATAAATTCTAACAGGGCGGCGGAGTACGTGCGTCTGCCTGCTTCTGTCTGTCACTTGTGTCTGCCGCTTTGTTGTCGCTGACAGTCAGACAGGAAGTGGGGGGAGGAAGCACCTTCATGGCTCCATGCCGAGACAGTGGCAAAAGTTTAACATTAGATTTATATGCTATTTGTTATTGTTGTTGTTGTTGTTGTTGTTGTTGGCGCTTCTTTGGTATCGTATTCACTGCTCAGCATAAATCTTGGCGTTTGTGTGAGCGTTTCTGTGAGCTTGTGTGTGTGCTAGTGTGGGCGTGTAATCAGGTCAATGCTTTTACCAAACCTTTGGGCATATTCTCAAAAAAAATATATATAAGAAGAAGAAGCTCTCACTACTCTGTTACTCCTTATACAACATGCATATGTACTTTATTTGTGTCTGTGTGTCTGTGTCTGTGTGGACGGATGGGTGGTTGGATGGGTGGGTGGCTGCCTTGCCCTGCCTACCGCAAGGTTGACAGCGCGCAAACTAAACACGATTTGGTTCTACGGTTGTCTAAATAAGTAGATTATGGCCATTGTAGAAGATAGTTATTATTATTGTTGTTGTTACCAGTTTGGGATTCAAAGAAGTTATTCAGCTACCCAGTGCGCATGTCGGCTGAAGAGACACGCCAAAGAGAAAGAGTAAGAGAAAGAGCCAGAGATGAGCATATCAAAAGAGGAGATACAGTATAAGAGCTGTGCACTGAGGGAGACGGACGAGATTCGCATGGTGCCAGATGGTTTCAGATTATATAAGTCTAGCGCAAACGCAGTACCACAATTAGTTTATAACTATATGAGTGAATTAAAATAAATATATCAATTTTATATATGCAAACACTATATTTATGAATGGACTACAGATAACTCTAGCTTTATTCTTTACTCTAGCTCAATGTCCAGTTTGTTTGTTTGTTTTTTTTTTACCCATTAATTTAATCTAAAATTCCTTAGAACTTTCTGTCAATCTCCTATCGTAGTAACAGTCTTATCTATGCATTTCTTAGCTATCTGGCAACTTCCGTTGTCGCTAATATTCCCCACGTGCGTACTGCAGAAGCTATAAAAAAACGCACAGCATATGCAACAAGGGTCACGCTACGCTCTCGACTGGGAGCTCTCTTTAGCCAGCTCTCTGTCTCTCTCTCACTCTCTCTCAGACACAGATGCTGGAACAAGAGCAGCAGCAGCAACAACAGCAATAACAATAACTGTTATAAGATCTCTTTATTTGAAATAACTTCGATTCGAAGCCAGTCAAAAATGGTCCACCGACGCGACAGCAGCTTCCACAGCCGCAGCCTTGTTAGCCTCGGAAACCAAACTCGCAAAACGTGTACGTGTTCGTGTGTGTGAGTTGTATCCATGTCCGTGCAAGTATCCATGTGTGCGTTGCCAACAAAATCAGACCAAGTGTGAAGTGGCAAAGTGTCCCAATCTGTTCTTCCCGCTGCCTGGAGCTGCGACGAAAATAAACAGTTAGCATTTTAATAGTTATGCAAGCAAGCAAAAGAATTCCTATCGATATATGAGAGTTTTTTAAAATTGTAAATGAATAGAGATATAGAGATATATATTCCTAAAGCGTCGGACTAAAGCAAAAGCATCAAAGCCATGGGAACTAGCATTAAAAAAGTTAAGCAAGAAAAGTTAGTATAAGTCTTTGTATCCGTGTGTCTGTGTGGGTATGAATTTCAGTGTCAGTGTGTGT